CCTGGTGCTGCTGCTGCTGCTGCTGCGCCCGCGGTGCCGTGCTGGAGCCGCCGCTGCTGTGTGCGCCCTCCTCGGTCTCGGAGGCGACGGTGGCGTCCTCTATCTCCGTGAAATGAGCGCTGTTGCTTTTGTTGAGGTTGTTGCCGCCCGAGGTCGCGCTCCGGTCAGAGGGAGGAGAGGGGCTTTTTAGTTCCAGCGGCTCCCGGCTGGCCGTGGCGCACGACGGCGGCACCGGATCTGGAGATGAGAGCGAGCAGTTGGGCGTCTGTCTGTACCGGGCGTCCGGCGCGAATCCCCGGGCATCCTCTCTCACGGCACCGAAGTGGCTGCCGGTGTTGGTGCGGTTCACGGTTAGGTCCATGCCATTGTAGTTGTAGCCGAAAGACCCGGAGTGCATGGTGCCAGGGTCTCTGAAGGAACCGCTCACAGCGCCGTTAGTCCCATAATTTAGTAACTGATAGTCGGAGCCATTTGGATAGCGCCCTGAGAACGAGTTTACAAAGTAAGAGCTCATTTGCTTGGATTTTTAAAGCCTCGATTTGTAGATCTTTGTCGCTATAATCCTGTGTGCTTGCACGATTTATGGATGCAATCATGAATTATAAGCAATGAAGCCCTACTGTACTTTGCCAGGTATGCGGCCAAATATGGGAGAGCGTTCGGGAATCACGTGCCTTTGTTGACCAGTCGTAAATCCTCACTGATGACTTCAAGAGGTAATTCATGCTCCATGGTTACAAATGATGACGAAATAATGGTCGTTAGGCTCCAGTCAATGGTGCCTCCCCGCTGCGCCCCCGAGAGCCGTGCAGGCAGAGAGCGCCATCTTCCGGACAGCGGTGGCACTGCGCCGCCGGGACGCGCTGTCAGGCCCCCGGAGTCATCCATCATTTATGTAACACGCTGATAATATAGGCCACAAAAGGCTCAGGTAACATAACGGAGACTTATCAGCCAGACTGTTGGCAGTTTAACGCGCAGAGTGTCAAACTGGAAATTATTTTAATCTTTACTCTGGTTTTATGTGGATTTATAGGCTTATTGTGAGTCCAGAAGCAGTGTAATATCCCTTATAATAACATGAATAATAGGAATAATAATAAGAATAATGATAGAAACACGCATGTTTTTCTTGCGCATTAATGACGCCACAAGAGTTTCCAATATACATCAAAAAGCCTTTATTTCTATGTACAATTTTTCCTAAACAAAATATTGCACACAATATCCAGATGTGCATTGAACACAGGTGAACAACAATAAATAACATGTAACATTTTTTTTTCTTCCCTCGTCTGTACAAATGTAAGATGGCACAGCTGTAAACAACAAGCCTATATGGACTATTATAGAACAACCACACCACAAGATGTACAGTGAAAGGACTCTTTTTTTCTTTTCTTTTAATGTCATGAAGACAGAAATCATGGAGATAAAAACTCAGTAGGTCTATACGAATAATGAGGTAACAACATTGTCGAGAACTAAACACTTAAAAATTATTTACATTTTGGCGGATTTGTTGCATAGTCCCCTAAAAATAAAAACACACGAGCACAAGGACAAACAGAGGAGGACCTGATTTTAACCTAATGCAGACATTATCACCGTGCAGATACTGAAGTCTATCACTCTACACGTCTCTAAACATGGGATTTTACAGCACTTTTATCTACAAAGAAATAATACATCATTTTATTCTGGGAGTGTGCACACAAACACACACACACACACATGCCTTTTCTTTCTTTCAGTGTCCTTTCTTTTAGCTCTTTTTCTCCGCCTCTTCTTCCTCCTCGGGTGTCTTTGATGGATTGAGGAGTTTGTTCTCCTTTTTCCACTTCATCCTGCGGTTCTGAAACCAGATTTTGATCTGTCTCTCCGTCAGACACAAGGCGTGGGAGATCTCTATCCGGCGCCTCCTGGTCAGGTAGCGGTTAAAGTGGAACTCCTTCTCCAGCTCCAGAGTCTGGTAGCGGGTGTAGGTCTGTCGGCCCCTGCGGCCACTGTTGCCAAATGGGCCTGAAAGTGGTTGGGAGGAGGAGGAGGGGGGGAAAATGAATTCATCAATTAATAATTAAAATGCTGGTCTGAAATGAATTTTCGAGAGTGTAGGAGGAGACATCTACCTGAGAGTGCACTCGATATCTGTAGTCGTGTGTCTGAAAAAATACAATAAAGTGGGAAATTCAGATCTTTGGTGTATTTCAACTCCAAATTACACTTCTAACATTCAAATATAATCTTTTTCTTGTGTAGAAAGTAGCAAATTATGATACAGCAATTAACTCTACTTCATTGTATGTGTATTTTTAAAAATAATTCTCCTATAACAGCCTTTTCCTATAGGCACGCGAATGCCTCACAGTGGCGTTCAATTATTGATATATATTATATATATTTCTATTTTCTTTAAATATATTCTATAAAATAACTACATTTTCTAATAATACTTGTGTATTATGGCCATGACACGCCTTACAGTGAGGTCATGAGGACCTCTGCATATGTTTTATTAAAAAAAATCTCCTAAATGAATCTTTAATGTGGCTACAACAGGATGTAGCCAATAATGTGTTTAATGTGTGGTGCGTAAAAGTGACCTGATGGTGTCTTTTCTCTCTTATGCCATCAGTGTTTTGTTCTTTAACACTACAGTAGGGATGTACAGTCAGAGTCAGACTGCGCCACAATGAGCACTGAGCCTCCATAGCGCCTTGTTTTCTCAGATTTAGTGTTTTTGTGTTTATATTTTGGACATTTAATCGCCAAAAGTGCTTTTCTGACATTTAGTGTCGCTTTAAAAATGTTTAAAAAAGGCCCATTTTGAAGATGCCATGTGACACGAGCTGAGAGCTTTAAGTTGCAGCTCGGGTGATGTAGGCCAAATCTGTATGTGCGTGCGTGTGCGCGCGTTTCCCGTCGTGTATGTATGTGCAAGGATGATGATGTAGCAGCCAAAGCCTTCTGAAGGGCGCATGAAGAAGATCCGTGCGCAATCACGATAATCTCCAAAAACTTTCGGCCCAATAATCATCATCCGATTGTTAAATTGATTAAATATTAGCGCGAGTATGGAGCTGACAGGTAACTCTGCGAGGGGGCTCAGGACGCTCACTTCATCACGCAGAGCTGCTCTCTCCTGCGCTCTTTTACCTCCAGGCAGCGTGACAACAACAAGAGTTTTAAAAAACGTGCGCTTTCTCTCTCCTTTCCCTCCCCACGTAACTCACCGGCGGAGCAGGCGTTCATCCTCTGCATCCACGGGTAGATCAGAGTGGAGGACTTGTCGTCAATGCTGCTGCTCATACTGACAGTCTGCTCCGGGCACTCCGCTTTGCGCTGCTGATGCTCCTGAGTGACAAACAGCGGCTGGTCCTCGCGGCTCGAGAAAGCGCAGGAGCCCTCCGCGTCCTTGTAGAAAGTCCCGACCGGGTTGTAGTCGCAGGGCGCTCCGCCGCCGGCCCTGCCGTAGATGGCCGCAGCCGCCGCGCCCGTCTGCTGGTAGTAGGACGCCGGGTAAACCTTCTCCTGCATGTTCGCTGCTGCTCCATATGTGGCCGCGTTGGAGTAGTGTCTTAACGGATCGGTGTATCCCGAGGAATATAACGGTATCTGACCCAGGAGAGAGTCCTGTCCTCCCGGTAGAGACACGGGAAAAGTTGAGTTAACAAAATAGGAACTCATTGGGTGGACAACGGGGTGTATATACTCCGGAGGAATATGATTTGTTGTCTTTTATAGTCCAAGTGGTTTTGCCATTACTTTATCCGAGATTTGGTTTTTGCTGAAAGGGGGGGTTGTGAGGTGCCACTGAATACAGAGGGGAAGTGTACCATCTGATCAACCTCTGGCCAATCACCGCAGTCTGTGCTTGC